TCGTTTTTGCAAAAGGACTTTTTGTAAAAGGACTTTTTACAAAAGATGTTCTTAATAATGTGTTTGGATTAGCTTTTGAGTAATTTAAGTGTCAAGGGGTTGAAAAGTTACAAAAAGACACAGATACCTGACTTTTCAAAATGCTTCTTTTCCTTCTTTCTCAAAAGTTGGTTTTAAAAGATATTTTCCCATTACCAAACATCTTTTACCTCATTTTTAACTTTTTGGAAAAGATAGGGGCCAAAAGTTTATTAAAAAGATAAAACAAACACCCTCTAAATCAAACTCGCTACAACTGTAAGTAACTACAAATTTTTGTTGTTCTTTATGTATTTGGAATGTAATATCTTCGATCAAGATACATCACATGTATTTTGATACGTGTCTATGATTATACACAATACCACCTCCATGACCGGATCCATCAGATATACCATGCATTAAATGGATAAGCTGTTGTGATATTGTTTGCAATACTTGTTGGAGTGTCACTAATACCTTTGCATGGAATCACGTCTTAGATGCCAAATCCCCCATGTATTGCATGTTCCTGCATTTTATTTAATTATTAGTTTTATTTATTTTCCATTGAAAGAGTAACAATTAGCCCATCTTTCCCACTTCCTAGTTTTTATACATTTGCATTGTTATATATTTGGATGTATTTTCATTGTTTGAAAGAAGAAGAATTATTAGTAAAGTTTCTATGTTATCTATTCTTATTTCTTATGGATATTAGCCATCTCAAATAAATCTTTATCAATTAGTGCTTTCATACCCGACCATGCAATGCCTCCCCACCACCATTCACCATCAGAAGATCAGTCTTTTGCCTCCATTGCCAACCAATTGGCTCCACTTGTTGCTATAACTATCGCCAACAACAACCGCCTCAATGACATCATCACCAAGCTAACCGAGATCACTAAAATCCTCACTACCACATATTTATCAAAAGCGAAAATATGGGGGCTAAACTGCTTCCACAATCGCCGCCAACACCGCCACCAACATCCCTATCACAATCATTGATGCTAACAACACTAACATCTCCATCGTTAGAACTGCAAACACCCCACCTTCACCAATCCAATTGAAGATACAACCGTCGTCACCCTTATCACCAAAGGAACCAATCCCACAACTGCCATTGACAACTACTTATGAACATATTCGAAATCTCAAGCTATTTTTCCGTCTATTCGACTAATAACTTCCCACCATCTTTAATCTCAGTTTTACTTGTTGGAACTTTAGGATGAGGTCAATTTTAAGGGAGGAGGAATTGATACGTGTCTAGGGTTATACACAAGGCCACCTTGGCTGGATCCATCAAATATACTATGCATTAAATGGTTAAGCTGTTGTGACATTGTTTGCAAACGCTTGTTGAGTGTCACTATACCTTTGCATGGAATCACGTCTTAGATGCCAAATCCCTTACATATTGCATGTTCCTGCTTCCACTTCTTTTGGATTTTATTTAATTATTAGTTTTATTTATTTTCCATTGGAAGAGTAATTTATGGTTATCCCATCTTTTCCACTTCCTAGTTTTTAGACATTTGCATTGTTATATATTTTGATATATTTTTATTTGTTAGAAAGAAAAAGAATTATCAGTAAGGTTTCTATGATATTTATTCTAATTTCTTCGGGAGATTAACCATCTTGAATTGGGCTATCTTGGACATAACCATCTCAAATCGGTCTCTATCATATTTGGTGCATTCACGTTTAATTTTTTAACAACCTCAAATTGCTCCGGCTCAAATATGTGCAACTAAGTGTTGTAACATAATTCAAACAAAATATCAATAATATCATCATTTCCACACATATTTAAGTTTCTAATTAGGGTATGTCCTTCTATGTAGTCGCAACTACAAAGAAAACTAAGTAGAAAGGTTTATCATAGGCAGGACCGGTCCTGAAAATTCAAATGCCCTAGACGAACCGGGGAAAAAAGGCCCTTAGATCTTAACGTGGAACGAATTAAATTACATAAACTATTTTTTTTAACAACGATAAACTTTATAGCAATAAAAATAGCAAAATCATAGTATTTTAATGAATACCGATTAGCTGTTCCGGATAGAATATTTTATACCGCAATTTCACTAAAAATATAATTTTTTTTAATAAAGCGAAGATTTTAAAGGTTATTTTGGTCATTAGTAAAATGTGACAAAAATCTACTATTCTCCTTCAACCGTTCAACGATTCCCTATTAATAACTAGAAGCGGTCACTATCATTATCTTTTTGGAAGTCATTATAAATTAGTAAAACAAATAGATACATAGTGTATTAAAACTCAATAAAGTAATTATTTTTTTAAAAATTTTACTTAATAGTTTAATAAATATTACATGAAGAATTTTGCAATTTTGTTCTTAGTGGATTAAAAAAAAAAGGAAAAAAGACACGAGAATTTAGTGGAGGCAACAAAGAATGTTTAACACAATTTAAAAAGGCGCATGCACCAAATGGGATTCGAACCCGAATAATCGGTAACAACTTAAGAAAATTTAAAAAGGCGCATGCACCAAATGGGATTCGAACCTGAATAATCGGTAACAACTTAAGAAAATAGAAGCGCGCTTACCATTTGAACCATAAGAGCTTATGTTTTGACTTGAACGATTTATTATTTATATAAATACTAAATAAATAATATGACTTAATCTCGGGCCCTATTTTTTGGGGACCTGTGCAGCTGCCCACCTTGCCCCCCTCAAATCCAGTCTTGATCATAGGTATAACCTGTAGGGAAGTAGCGACTTCATAGAAGTAGAAAGGTTTATCATAGGTTTTAATGTTAAAGTAGAAAGGTTAGAGATGGTATTTTTTAGAAACTAGGGTTTATCATAGGTTTATTTGTTAAAGATTGTGAACGAATAGTAGTTCGAGAGGTTTGAAAGCATCATCAGTACTAAGGCTTTGAGGGCTTTGTTGGAGACGAATGGTTAATCGGCTTTTGTTGGAGGCCTTTTTAGGTTAAAATGGTGAATTGGGATCTTGTTTTAAATTGATAGTCAACAGAGAACGGTAATCGTGGCATTTTCCCTAGTTAGTCAAGATAGTTAATGACAACTATTTGTATGCTAAATATAATATTCATCCAATTTTACTTTAAAATTTTTGATTGTTATTTTAATATTTTGTTAGGCATTATTTTTTAACTAATATAAAATATCCTTTGGAAATGAAATTTGCTTTTAAATAGATAAAATAGTCATTTATTATCTTCTTAATGCAAAAATATATGTTTACACACTATATATAATAAGTTGAAATATCAGTATACAAATTATTGAGAAATCCATTTTATCAAACATGCTACTTTCTCGCATTAATATAAATCATTAACCCTATATTGGAAATTATTAGGTGTTAACTTTATTTTTTTTTTTTTTCGTGATTATATCTTAACTTTATTTTTTATTTCAGAAGAAAAACCTTGATCTTTTTTCATCGGGCTCTTTTAGTCATTTTTTCCTAAAAAAAACTTGTAAAGTGTGAAGATTTTTTCAGAAAAAACTAAAAAAGTTGAGTGTTTTTTCGGAAATAGTTTGAAGATCGAAGGGTTTTTCGGAAAAAATGACAAAGTTGAGAGTTTTTTTTTTTTTTTTTTTGAAAAAAAATTAAAAAATACAAGTTTTTTTTTTAAAGAAAAATAAAATAAAGTGAAAGTTTAATCTGGAAAAACACAACATATAAAATCTTTTTTTAGATTAACCCAATTATCAAGCTCAAATTCACATTTTTAAGAAAGGTACAACTATTTCTTTTCTTCATTTTTCTTATAGTATTAACCGATAAAAAACAATCTAACTTAGTCAATAAAATTATCCGTGTTTCTATTTTATTTTAAGTTTCAGTATTAAAATACAACATACATTTAGGATAGTCTTAAATCGTTGATATTTTACGAAATATGACATAAAGTTTATGACAGTCCCTTATGCCTGTCATAAAACTGTTGTACGTTGTAAGTTTAACAAATGCCTTTCATCTAGTAGTGTAAGATGTTATTCTACAAACAACCAATAAACGCACCTTAGCTATGCACATAATTTTGTCTAAAATAATCCATCATTAAAAAATCTTAAATAAAAGTAAACATATAAAACAAACAATATTAAATTAGACGTAGTGGAGATACCTAGGGGGGGGGGGACATCCCTAAAAAATCGTTTTATATATATAAAAAATTACTTGTAAACATGTTTTATGTTAATGCACCCTCAACTAAAGAGATTGTATTACGTCTTTAATACCCAGGAGAACTACATAAAATACTATATACCTTTTACCTAAATTATGTATTTATTTTAATTTTTTCAATTTACGACTTTAAATATTAAGAAACTCTTTACATTTTTGATTGTGAATCTTAATAATATTTGTATCTCCATATTAAAATTTCTAGCTTCAGCACTAAGATCAAACGTTTGAGCATAAGGTCCCCAGTGATACACACTCCAATTACGAGGTCAATTTCTTTGAAGACACCACCCGGCCATATCGTGTTTTGGGAGAAAATATTTATCTATAATTAAAATAAAGTATGCCATTCATGTAGGACTCCATTGTTGGTTGCTTTAAAGATAAAAAGAAAGATTCTGCAACAAGATTATGGTCGGAATGAAAAGTTTATGATTTGTTTTTTTACCCAAAAGATTTAAAAAAGCAATCATATTTTCAAAGTGATCATGAAGTAGGTATTTTTATGGCATTAAAACAAACAGGTTATGTGGATTCAAAAGAGAGAGAGAGAAAAAGAAAAAGAAAATAAGATTTGGGGGATCAAATTGCACTAAGAGGGGCTGGGTATATGTAGGTCCTCTGAAAATTGCAATTATCACCTCTCTCACCAACAAGGCATCTCGTCCCTATTTCAGTAGCTATATATAAGAATCAACTCCCAAATACAGCGGTTGCAATTGCTTGCATACTTTGACTTCAGTTTTATAGTTACTATTTGATCAACAAATAATGGAGACCTTCCTACAAGACTTCCAGCATCTTAAAATCCAACTGGAAGAGATAAAGTCAGCCACTGATACCTTTGATAACAACAACTTCATTGGAGAAGGTGGATTTGGTAAAGTGTACAAAGGAGAAATCTCTCACTCTAAGGGGAAAAGCATGGTTGCTTTTAAGCGTCTAGATCGTAGCCATGGGCAAGGCGATCCTGAGTTCTTAAAAGAGATCCTGATGCTCTCAGGTCACACACACGAAAACCTCATCTCTCTTTTGGGATTTTGTGATGAGGATGGAGAGAAGATCATTATCTATGAGCATGCAGCTAATGGAAGCCTTGATCGTCATCTAAGTAGCACTACTCTCACATGGAGACAACGTCTCAAGATATGCCTTGGGGCTGCAACAGGATTGTGCTACCTTCATCATCCCAAGGAGACACAAGAAAGAGTCATCCACCGTGACATAAAAAGCTCCAACATTCTACTGGATGAGAATTGGAATGCAAAAGTTTCTGATATGGGACTTTCGAAAGTAGGACCCGCTAATCAACAACGAACGTTTCTTCTTGTCACCAATGTTGTAGGCACCCTTGGTTACATAGATCCGATGTATATGGAGACCAGCATCCTAACCGAAGAGTCAGACGTATACTCTTTTGGTGTGGTTTTATTTGAAGTATTGTGTGGGAGAGTATGCTATGAAAACAACAATCGTAGTTTTCAGAATTTAGTGCGTATGTGGAAAAAAAGCTACAAAGATAAGAAATTAGATGAAATTATCTTTCAAGGTCTGAAGCAAAACATGGATCAGAGGTCTTTGGCAACATTTTCAGACATTGCCTATGGTTGTTTGCAGAAATACCGTGGAGAACGGCCGAAGATGTGTCATGTTGTGGAAAAACTGGAGAACGCGCTTCGCTTTCAGGAGATTTTTGAAGATGTGGAACAGAAACGACTCTACTATGAAGAGATAAGTAAGGCTGCATCACCTCGTTTGGTCTACAGATCCGAAGAGCATCTAAAGATACTTCTCTCCAAGGGAATCTTTCTTAACAGAGGCAAAACGGTAATGTGACAATGTCTATAACGTCTATATACCTGATTTAGATTTTTATTTGTTTAATAAATGAATAGTAAATTGTGATTTATGAGATGTCAATTACATTATAGCTTGATTTGAGGAATTTGACACAATTAGATCCATGGTGCTTGAAACGTATACATCTCAATAAATATGTATAATCCAGTGGGCCACGAACAATGATTCAAATTAATGACGTTTAAAACTCTTTTGTGACCACCATCATAGCTCTCTATTTACATACCGGAACTCCGAACTAACATGACCTCTTTTAATGGACAGTGGCTTTGCTTAGATAAGGATGGAGAACACTGTGAAATGATATCCGCAGCAGAATGTTTGATTCCTATTCGCATTGTATCATCCAGTTATTATAAACAGCAAAAGAAATCAAGGTTAGTTGTCCTCCTTTATATTTCTATGTCATTAGCGTGTTTCATGATCAGTATTACTTATGTATTCTTCGATGCCTCTTCGTGCAGAATAGCAGTGAAATCAAGGTTACTTTTCCTCCTTTATATTTCTATGTTTTTAACCTATTTCATCAGTTTATACTTATGTGTTCACTGCTGCCTCTTCACGCAGATTTGCAGTGAACTACGATATACCATATTCTAGGCAATTCAAAACACACGTCAAAACACAATTTTTGTCATCACATGTCACATACACACTAAACCTAGTGTTCCATTCTGATCACTACACAAGTAATGACTATTTGGGCCTCAATTACGTATTGGCTGGGGAGACAAAATCTTCGACTGTGTACTTAGCGAATAAGAGAGAAGATGGATGGTTGATGGCTGAATTGTATCAATTTAATAGCGATAGCAGAAATGTTGATTTTGAAATTACGTTTCTGTCCAATGATCCATTGTTGGTGGAAGGCATCGAGTTTCTGCCAGTGGAAAGAGTAAAGAGACAAATACAGTTTTATTCAATTATATCATTTTCTTTAAAGTAAACAGAAGAAATGGTCCCTCTGGTATGTAGTGTTCATGGGTCCCAAAAGGAATCTTTTTTTTTTTTTGGAAAAAAGTTCCTTTATTGCAAAGTTTAGGTTTTGTTATTAATTTAAAACCGTGTAGTAGTAAATATGGATACCGCAGGACCATATCTGCGGTTTACTGTTTTCTTTTTGTTTATTTTTATGCTTCAAACATTCTTAGAAAATAAATATTTCGCAAGAACATTTCAACTTAAAAGAACCTATGGTTTCCTACTTTTTGGAAAAGCTTTTCCATGGGATCAAATAGAAAACGTTTGGAGGATATGAGTTTTTGTTCATAGTAGATCAAAGTCTAATGTCTAAGTTTTATAGGTGGATCATCAAGTGTTAGGGGATGAGGATGAGGATATTCAAACAGACACATACTCAGAACAAAAATTGCCATGGGAATATGGACAAATAAACGAGAGTGGTGATGTGGTATATTCTCAATCAAGGAACTCTACTCTATTCTTAAGCGCAGTTTTTTCATTTGTTCTTTTATATTTCGTTGTTGAGGAGCCTATGAACATGGTTCTACCCAACGTTCCAATTTCCAAAACAAGTACTTACACATTTATTTTACTACAGTGGCTTTCTCGTGCAAAAAATAGGGAAACATGTTATATGCTCTCAGCAAAAGTGGCTTTACTAAAAGAAGAGTGGAGATGGAGGTCTTTACCCGAATCAAGGTTTTATCCACTAATTTATCCATCATATGTTGATTTGTAACCACCTTGGATTTAATGACTCTGGTTTGTTCTCCAATGAAATTGGATTACTCATTTGCAAAATCAACTGGAATTAGTATTAAATGTTATACCAAGCATTCATTATGGCTATGGAATCTGTTGTGTTTGTCTACAGTCAAAAAATTCCAGCACTCTAATAAAAAAACAACGCATATACATATATTGGCTGTTAGTATGTGGAACCCCTGCAACTTTTCAAATCCTTCTGAACAAGTATGCTTAAACTATTTTTTTAGTATTTATATTAAAACACTATATATATATCTTTTGGCAGATTTGAAGACGTGGCTTTTGATCCACATGGCAGCTTTTGGATATTCTTCAGCACTGATATGCTGTCAAGTGAAACAACATATGCAACTTACCTTGTTTACAGATTAGAAGAAAACCATTTTGGATTTGAGCCTCCTTTGAAAGTGAAGTCTGGTGATTACCTTGTTGGTAGGAAAGATTCATGGTTCATATATTTACTTTTGCCTCAAATTCCAATTATCAGACCAAAGGTTTATCAAAGCACCCACAACCCAATGAATAGACCCCAAAGGACGTACCTTCCACAACAAAGAGATGATGGTTGGATGGAAGTAAAAGTATGGGAATTTCGAGTGCCTTTTACCACAGATAATTATTCTCAAAGCTCTTTTACGAGTAATAGTAGTAATTCCAAAAATCTTCGATTGACCCTTCACAGTGAGAACTCGCTTAAAGGCCTTATTGTGCAAGGGATTGAGTTTAGACCCACACATGAAGATGTAGGTTATCCTGGTTATGATACAGAATGCTCTTATGATTCCGAATGAATTGATTGTAATAGGTTGTATTCTTTATGATTAGGCATAAATTAATTATAATTAAATAGAGTGAACTCGTTAACAGGGGTGTATTTTTAAATATAAGGCTAGGGGGTGCCTCACCACCTAAGCGCGCACAGTGGTGTGATGTGGCATTGGTGGTGCCTCAGATACATTTTGTCCGACTGGTATTCGGTGCCCAAGCATGCTAAATTCGCTGATCAGTAGCCACACAAAACCCACTCACCAATGTTTCCTGACGGTTTTATATATATATATATATATATATATATATATATATATATATATATATATATATATATATATATATATATATATATATATATATATATATATATATATATATATATATATATATATATTATATATATATATATATAGGGGAGGGTTCATGCGAAAATGCAAATAATTTGCGAAAACGCGAAAACAATAAAAACCTATGATATTATGTCACCTCAACATTATATTTTGGAAAATAATTCATCCAAACTTTGAAATACATGATGATAATCGATGATAGATGATAAACTGTTTCATATTAGCAAAGTATGATTTTTAACATTTTTATTATGAAAACATGAATTTAAAAATGATTAAAGACGTGAAAAAAATATAATTATAAAAACCATCTTTAAATCTATATTACCATAACACTATCCAATTCAAACTTACTATCTTTAATTTATTGCTAATAAAATTACTTTTTTATAGTACATGTGTTTAATTTTCATAAGATAAAATCTGTTTTCGTGTTTTTGCAGGATACTTATATATATATATATATATATATATATATATATATATATATATATATATATATATATATATATATATATATATATAGACTTAACTGCACAAATGGTCTCTGTGGTTTGCTTAAAATTACCACTTTGGTCCAAAAAAGTTTAGGCTAGTACTAGAGGTCCAAAGTTTTCATTTTGTTGCTTGTTTGGTCCAATCTATTATGATTTTTCTCAAAATGACGGATTTGCCCCTGTTAATATTATTTTCACGTTTTTTTTAATTGATTTTTCTGATTTTCATATTTAAAAAATAAAAAATAAAAAATAAAAGTAAATACAAATAAATCTCTCTCTCTCTCTCTCTCTCTCTCTCTCTCTCTCCCCGCTATTTCTCCTTCCTTCTCTCATTTGTTCTTCCTGGTTCTCAAGAAACGCCTCGCCGTTGACTCCACCACCGTTATCGCCATCAACCACCACCGCCTTTATCCACTATCATCTCCACCACCCACCATCCATCTGTAAACCCTTACTCCGATCTCGTCGCCATCTTCTATTTCTGTAAAAATTCATTTTTTCGGCGATCTGAAAAAACTCCGCTGCAACTCGACGAAGCTCCAGATCTGTTAAACATCGTTCTTCCGGTGAGCCTCGTCTATCTCCATCTTTCTCCGCTTTCTTCATTATCAAACCCTACCGATTTAGTGACGACGTTCCAGAGAAGACGAAGGGCGGCGACGAGTTAGGGTTTTCAGAAAACCCTAATCGGTTATTTTTGTTTCAGCGCCATTATCATCCACCGAAAACCCTAGCTCTGTTATCTTCATCACCAAAACCTACTGTTGGTATGTATTGAACGACCCCCTTACCTTTTTCTTTCCAGATCCGATGAGAAAAAAGAGAAATAGGGTGACAAACAGATCTGCTGGTTAATTTCTTTTTCATATTTTTTTGGCAGATCTGGCCTTGTTGGTGGTTTGGATGCCATTATGTGTTGATTACAGTCGATGGTATTTTAATGGTGGTGTGATGATCTGATGGAGAAAATGATGGGTTATATGGTCAGTGGTAGCTAATGGTGGGTAGTGTCAGTTGTGATAGATAAATTAGGTTTTTGGGTTGTGTCTGGTGGTAGTATAAGGTGGAATGGTGGTCACGGTGCTGGGAATGGAGACGGAGAAGGGTGATGTTGGGTGGTAATAGATGATGAAAGGTTCAGGTGAGGTTGAAGTTGAAGGTCGGTGAAGGTGATGAATGGTAAGAGAGAGAGAGAGAGAGAGAGAGAGAGAGAGATTTATTTTATTTTTATTTTTATTTTTTATTTTTTTCAATCTAAAAATCAGAAAAACAAATAAGAAAAAAGGGAAAATCATATTAACAGGGGCAAATCCGTCATTTTGAGAAAAAGTCATAATTGATTGGACCAAAC